AGCTCTCCTCTTCGATACTTCATGGGGCTGAAGAGTGTTATTGTTCTTGTGGACGATACTAGGGGAGCGCTTCCCGGAGCAGCCCCCAGATGGTGTGGAATTGTTGACCTGTAGAGAGTCATCCACAGATTGGTCAGCGGTCGCCCTAGTATCGTGGGAAACATGCTTCTTCAACTTGATTTCGCTGCACGCGTGGATGCGTGCGACGGGAAATGGCGAGTTTGTGGCCGGACGTGTAGGAAAGCATGAGACGACGAAGACGGCGCGAAGCAGGAGTTGGCGTTGCTTCGTTGGCCGTGACGTCAGTAGAAGAGCCAGGCTCGTTCGAGGAATTTGAAGGGGGTGGTGTTCCCTTGCCTTCAATGTCAAAGTGGTCAGTGGAACGTGGATGCTCCATTTTACGTAGTCGAGAGTACGCGCTGACTGTAGTTTAGTGGGTGCACACTTGTAATTAGGTGTGGGGGCACGCAGGTTCAATTAGCTGCCTCTAGCCTCAAAGAAAATGCGTAAGTCGCGGATGCGCTGCGTTCTTATAGCAAGTTCGTGTTGAGAATGCCGATGTTGCTTGTTTGTACCATGCAGAGTGATTGGGGCGCATGCTTCAGGCAAAGGCCAAAAAAAAACCACGTAGAAAGAAATAATTCGATGATGATGGTCGTGAGCGTGATGCGTAACGTGGCTGCAAAGAAATGACAAATTCGTGTTGTTGGACTTACTGATTTAATGAGAGAGGGACTAGGTACTGAGGCTGAGAGAAGCGACGCGAGTGTACTGTTAAACTGAACTGAACGACGCTCAGCTAGCGGCATTCCAATACACCAAAGCAAGCATAACTTAATGTATTTGTTGCTTTAACAGGCTTTAGTCTTATTTAATTTGGTCCGCACCCAAACAACTTAAATATTACAGCAATAGTTGCCTCATGGCTGCACCGATGATAAGCAGAGCTGGTAAGTAAGGCGATGCCGTTAACAACAAATAATGAATAAGTAGCGAATAAGTGGAGAAGGGCTGCGCGCCATTCCACATGCGAATGAAAAACGAACGACTCATGTCGAAATACTCAACTCCAGAAACTCCTCTGTGCATTTTTTTGTATCCGAATTCTCATCTCATTAATTATTCACAGTTTTCATCCTGAAGCTATAACGTCGGGAACAATACAGGTCTATGGAACAGATACAAGCAATGTGATCATTGCAACACTCGATAGAAAAAAATAACGAACAAAAAAAGCTCGAGGTTTCCTTCTGTGCCTCCACTTGTTCAGAATCTCATTCTTCTTCATCGAAGTCAGTATTTCCGACTCTTACTCGAACGTCAACCTTAACATCAAGATTACAGCATTCGTCTTCTGTAGTTGTCGTTGTTGTGGTTGTAGTTGTTGTAGTGGTTGTTGTCGTTGTTGTGGTGGTAGTTGTCGTTGTTGTGGTGGTAGTTGTTGGAGTGGTTGTCGTGGTGGTTGTAGTTGTTGGAGTGGTTGTCGTGGTGGTTGTAGTTGTTGTTGTGGTGGTAGTTGTTGTTGTGGTGGTAGTTGTTGGAGTTGGTTGTCGTGGTGGTTGTAGTTGGTGGAGTGGTGGTTGTTGTTGTTGTGGTGGTAGTTGTTGGAGTGGTTGTCGTGGTGGTTGTAGTTGTTGGAGTGGTTGTCGTGGTGGTTGTAGTTGTTGGAGTGGTAGGTGTTGCTGTTGTCGTGGTAGTTGTTGTCGTGGTAGGTGTTGTTGTGGGAGTGGTGGTTGTTGTAGTCGTGGTGGTTGTTGTTGTGGGAGTGCTGGTCGTCGTTGTTGTTGTGGGAGTGCTGGTTGTCGTGGTTGTTGTTGTTGTGGGAGTGCTGGTTGTCGTGGGAGTTGTTGTTGTCAGAGTGGTTGTTGTTAGAGTGGTACTTGTTGTGGAAGTTGTCGTCGTTGTTGTTAGAGTGGTACTTGTTGTGGAAGTTGGTGTCGTTGTTGTTAAAGTGGTGGTAGTAGTTGGAGTTGGAGTGGTGGTTGTCGTAGTTGTTGTGGTAGTAGTTGGAGTTGGAGTGGTGGTTGTCGTAGTTGTGGGAGTGGTTGTTGTTGTGGGAGTGGTTGTTGTTGTGGGAGTGGTTGTTGTTGTGGGAGTGGTTGTTGTTGTGGGAGTAGTTGTTGTTAGAGTAGTTGTTGTTAGAGTAGTTGTTGTTAGAGTAGTTGTCGTCGTTGTTGTTAGAGTGGTACTTGTTGTGGAAGTTGTCGTCGTCGTTGTTGTTAGAGTGGTACTTGTTGTGGAAGTTGTCGTCGTTGTTGTTGTTAGAGTGGTACTTGTTGTGGAAGTTGTCGTCGTTGTTGTTGTTAGAGTGGTACTTGTTGTGGAAGTTGTCGTCGTTGTTGTTGTTAGAGTGGTACTTGTTGTGGAAGTTGGTGTCGTTGTTGTTGTTAGAGTGGTACTTGTTGTGGAAGTTGGTGTCGTTGTTGTTGTTAGAGTGGTACTTGTCGTGGAAGTTGGTGTCGTTGTTGTTGTTAGAGTGGTTGTTGTCGTGGAAGTTGGTGTCGTTGTTGTTGTTAGAGTGGTTGTTTGTCGTGGAAGTTGGTGTCGTTGTTGTTGTTAGAGTGGTTGTTGTCGTGGAAGTTGGTGTCGTTGTTGTTGTTAGAGTGGTTGTTGTCGTGGAAGTTGGTGTCGTTGTTGTTGTTAGAGTGGTTGTTGTCGTGGAAGTTGGTGTCGTTGTTGTTGTTAGAGTGGTTGTTGTCGTGGAAGTTGGTGTCGTTGTTGTTGTTAGAGTGGTTGTTGTCGTGGAAGTTGGTGTCGTTGTTGTTGTTAGAGTGGTTGTTGTCGTGGAAGTTGGTGTCGTTGTTGTTGTTAGAGTGGTTGTTGTTGTGGAAGTTGGCGTCGTTGTTGTTGTTAGAGTGGTTGTTGTCGTGGAAGTTGGTGTCGTTGTTGTTGTTAGAGTGGTTGTTGTTGTGGAAGTTGGTGTCGTTGTTGTTGTTAGAGTGGTTGTTGTTGTTAGAGTTGTTGTTGTTGTAGTTGGAGTTGTTGTTGTTAGAGTAGTACTTGTTGTGGAAGTTGTCGTCGTTGTTGTTAGAGTGGTACTTGTTGTGGAAGTTGTCGTCGTTGTTGTTAGAGTGGGTACTTGTTGTGGGAGTTGTCGTCGTTGTTGTTAGAGTGGTACTTGTTGTGGAAGTTGTCGTCGTTGTTGTTGGAGCAGTGGTAGTAGTTGGAGTGGTGGTAGTAGTTGGAGTAGTGGTAGTGGGGAGTAGTTGTTGTGGGAGTAGTTGTTGTGGGAGTAGTTGTTGTGGGAGTAGTTGTTGTGGGAGTAGTTGTTGTGGGAGTCGTCGTTGTTGGAGTAGTTGTCGTCGTGGTAATTGGAGTAGTTGTCGTCGTGGTAATTGAAGTGGTTGTCGTCGTGGTAGTTGAAGTGGTTGTCGTCGTTGTTGGAGTGGTTGTTGTTGTTGTTGTTGTCGTTGTTGTTGTAGTCGGTTCGGCGCAGTGACAAAGTCTACAGATACGGTTGGGGTCTCCTGTTGCAAAGATCGCAGATTATGTCCAAACCAGGAAGCGATGGATCATTTGGAACACATTTTTCACAAGGTCTTCCGCATCGTGCGGAGAAAACAGGAATCACAAAACACGCAAAAACGACGAGAAAGGCTAATCGACACACCATCTCCAGAAATCAAGAGAAGACAAAAACTGGTGAAAGACGGTAAACTGATGTGAATTGGTTCTGTTGTGTGCGGGGGCTAACAGAGACTGCTCAACGAAGACTGCATGCGCGGGCTGAGTTGAGTGGAGTGAAATCAATAGACTGTGGTCGATCGGGTTGTTTTTCTCAGTTGGATGGTGAAAAAGGCTTCAGCCAACATTTCAGACCGAAGAAACACTTTGAATGAACCAGAGAAGAGGTTTCTTCTTGTCGTGGAATTAAAGTGGCGTCTAGACATTGGATAGCTGCTCGCCAAAAAATCCAACGATCTTTGTTGGTCAAGTAGAAGATCTAACGATTTCTGCAGCTCAACCAGTTCTAGGAGGCTGTGGAGTGGCCCCAGATTGTAGGAGATTCTTGACGACTTCTTTCCCCGCTTTCTCTGTGTGATCGATAATTCTGATCGTAACTGCAGATCTCTTGAGTTGAAAAGGGAACTTGTTATTGAATATTGTTTGTAAGTCATCAAAACCAACCCGTTCACTTTGCTGATTCAGCAATCGCTTCCATTGTATCATACTCGTTGTAACTTTGACAAACATCTTCGATTCATCGCAATTCTTAGAGAACGACAAAATCATTCTCTAAATGGCAAGTCTGGTGTCAGCAGCCGCGGTGATTCCAGCTCCAATAGCGTGAAGTTGTTGCAGTTTTTTGCATCGTTTTATCATCTAAAGTCTTTTGCATCGTTTCATAAGTCTTTTGCATCGTTTCATAAAACGTTTACGGAAATCTGTTCTACAGAGATCCATACATGCTTTTGATGTCACATTTTGTTGATTCTTGATCCTCACACTGAACTTGAACAAAAAACGAGATTTTATGGTCAATCATTCATCTTCGTCGCTAGACCCACTTCACAACTCATTGATAACAGGATTATTCAACAGGTGATATGGTGGCAGAGGCATTGAAGGAGAAGGACCTTATTCCAATTTTCATAATGATGCTGTATTGGTTGTCCTACTTGCATATGAAGCATCATGACTGGTTTGAATGAGACCTGATGATCTGATGATGATGATGGTAAATCAGTGAATGAACAGGAAACAGAAGACTATTTGTTGAATCCATTCGACGCGGAAAAACAATCATCGCGTTGATCCTTCTCCTCTCAAACATCGGAAAGCCGTCACGGATTGTACTGGCTCTTCCACCAAGCACAAGATCCCAAAATTCTAATCCAAAATGCGAACCACATATTATGTGCTGATGCGATCCAGAGTGTTCTTCATTGTGCTTCACGGTTCTTTGGGTCTTCTGATGGAAATCAAGATTAGCATTCATGACAGAATACATGCCCTCGTGAGCCAACTGCTCTGTTGTATGCTAGTATCCTATGTGGCATGGGAAGTGTCAGTATTGCCATTCGGACGGCTTTAAGAGAAGCACTCAAAGAGCGGTTCTCGGGTTGGGACAACAAGAACGAAGAGACCTCAGCTGTTTCTTGTTCACTAACTTGCCTCCAGAAGTCCATTTATTCTTTATTGTCCCAATCTACTTTTGCTGTAAGAAACATCATCCCCCACTTTGTTACGCACGACAGCATTCCTTTATGAGCCCTCTTTTTAACTTTTTGATGCCTTTTGGAAGAATCTTCTGGCATCAGACTTCGTTACATAAATCTCAAAGTTCGGTCCCCACCAGATCGCAGGAGGTTCTCTCAGCGCCAACTGTCACATCGAAGCGCAACTTCAAAACACGAAACTTTTCTTTTTGTTCGTCCCACGGTTAAACTATCGCTCTTCAGTCACAGTCCTCCCCACCCTCCATGATCCAAACAAAAATCAAGCTCTAAACTTGTTGCGACAAGTTCTTCACCTTCTTGGGAAGACAGGTTTCTACATGCACCTCAGTAAAGCTTGCTTCGTACTGAGCTTCTGTATTTGAGTCATCGAGTATCTTCATGGTCATTTAATCCCTGATCCTACTAATATCACGGCTGCTACTAAAGCCGTAGCACGTAAGGACAAAAGGGCACTACTATCATTGTGTGCCTCCGCCAACTACTTACGCAACTTCATCTCCCGCTTTTCCGAAATAATGGAACCTCTCACTCGCCAAATATGTACGCGAAAGTTGTTTGGAGTGAAGAGCACGAAAACGCGTTCCAAGCTGTTAAGATGACCATCCCAATATTACGGCAACCAGCCACGTTTATTCACTCTCACCACACCATGCCAAAGTTTACCCACACCATGCCACAGTGTGGGAAACCTTCCATAATCACCGATGCCTCAGCCGTTGCTGGAGCCCCGTAATCGCAAACAAATAGAACTTCAAAATATCAAACAAATGAAGTGCTTGGTGTTCATAAGCTTCGCATCTAAGAAGCTGAAACACAAAGGAATTACAGAGCGTGAGCTCTACGCTATGGTATGCATTAGACGTGTCACTTTCTGAAAACAATTCAAAGCCTCCCCACATGATTACGTTCTACTGATAGAGAGTCAGATATGAAAGGCAACGCGCAGATGCACGAAGCGTTGATGAGCCTGCGGGCATGGATGTCACGTAAGAGAGGCAGATTCCACACTCAACAAAAAATTCTTGAGCTTGTTCGGAAAAAGCCCCAAATAGTTTCGAAGGTATTTTATAAAAAAATCGTCAACCTACACGCACCCTCAGACTTCACTTCGTCCGCTTTCCATGATCCTTCTTGATAGCTTGGATATATTTTGAGATATTTGACGCTTGTTTGAATCATCCACAGACATCAACCGAGTTCTTGTCAAGAGGCACCCTCAGGACACGGGCCTTTCCACATCCTCAAAAGTCAAGGGGCAATGAGGATTCAAATGCATCAATGACATCGTGCATGTCGGTGGATCGAATTCCGGACCGTCGAGTGATTCTACGATTCGGCGGCTCTACAACAGACGAATATTTATTTTGTTGCAAGCTCTCATTAATTGTTCTCGATTGACTTGGTTCTCTCAAATAGTGAAAGGAATGTGTTTGATGGTCAGAATAGAAACTTACAGAATGCAGCACAGCGCTTGATCGTAGCTTGCACCATGCGACACTTGAATCATCGACAGACAATCCAGAACATCCCTGGCTGATCGCCGCAGTTTTTTGGATTGCTGTGAGTCTCCACTTTGTCCGCTTTCCTCTTCTTTGATTTCTTGGAGAGACTTGGCGGCTTGGGCCGACCCCCTCGAAAGACAATCCAGAATCCACGTCCACATTAATATCGGCCTCAACGCACTGCCGAAATCAGTACCACGATACCGTGGACTCACCGGGTGTTTAGTCTTAAGGTGCTTCCTCAGACCCGCAAAATATTTGACAGTTCTGCATTTCAACTTCGCTCCCTGCGACAGAAAAAAAAATGCAGCTACATCTTTAATTTTTCGTCTTTTCAATTTCTAGCAAGCCACAAGGCAGAAACGAGGTACATCGATCATTCGTTGCCCAATCTACACGAAAAGCTGTTGACGGATTCTTTTATGATTGCTAGGATGTCGTTTCTCCGCTGCAGGAAATTGAAGAATCGTGACTCGGAAATGATGAACAACTCGATTTATGGGAAAAACATTGCAACGTTAGTCAAGCGACTATGAGATTCCGCGTTGAAGAACCGAAGGAAAGCTTTTTCGTCTAATTCCGAAAGCGTCGGGCTCTGTTGTTCCATGAACTGTTTCGCGACATTGTGATCATCTGGGAACAGATGAACACTTCTCACTAAATTCCTATAAGATTCATGAATTAGTAAGATTACTGGATAAATACGCTGCATGAGACTCGATGGACAGTTGATTCTATCAATAGAACATCCCTAACGTGGAAGAAGGATAGAAAAACTGATCTCTCCCAAGCGGAATTAATGGAGGAGCGCACCGATGTAACGTTGGGATGGATTGGGACACACTGCAGACGGGGAATTGGGACACTGCGGATGCCCATTCCGAAAAGGAAGGATCATCGCAACTGATCTCGATCTTTCGTCTGGAGTATTGAAAGATTGCAACCTTTTCTTGTCTTACTAAACACCGTCCTGCTTCCAATTGCCCGCCTAACCGTTACAACATAGAGAACAAAAATTCTTCAAAAGGAATCTCAAATTCCACAGCAAGGTATTGAATTCGTTGTTTCCTCCAGCATCAATCAACTCAGTTTCCTTCTTCATGCATTTCATCCTCAGCGTTGAAGAAGCACTGAAGCTTCCCGAAAAATTTGTTTTTCATTTTCGTGACGTGCACATCCTTGTTGTCATTCCAGATTTCGAATGGAAATCGATTCCTCAATTGTAAGACGACAACAATTGCAGTGAATGAACTCAAATATTAAGACGAGACGAGAAACATGATTTGGTCAACATTTTTCAGCAGTCAGTTTCCCATGCATGAAAAACATCGGTCACAATTCTGCTTTTTTATTGCGTATGGTTCTATCCCAATAGTTAATCTTTTTTTTTTCCATTTTATGATCTTCGCTGAAACCACACCGTTTCGGAAGCAATCTATTAACTTCACTTTTTCATGGAAGATAATTTCGATCTCGGCGGGATGTGGAATATCCGCTTTGCTGTATCATACACCCGGTGATGGTCCTCATGTCCCAAACAATGAGGATACGTGACATGTCTATACATCGGACAGATGATCAGGATATTTTGTGTCTTGGCCATTAATTTTGTATCTCGCGCATGCCTTACCCGGTGTACTGGAAGAGGTTGTCAGTCGACTGCCAATTCACACAGTCGATGTGAACGAAGTGGATTTTGTCCGATTTACGAAAGATTCATGCTTCGTGCTCCTAAACGCGAACGTCGTCAAACGGGCATTGAAGGGGAAGCCGCTCTCCATCGTTGGGTATAAGAAATCCGGAACTGTAACTCGACTTGCTGGAAATGAATTGGACGCTGCCTATTGGGAGAAGTGGAAAAATCATCGAGGAGTAGTTGACGTGAAACCACAAGGAAGAAAAATGAAATTTGACGTTCTGAAGCTGATTGTGAAGAAGGGGGCCTTTGAATCGGATGGTCAAAGAACAATAAATCTCTACTGCCCAAGCCGAGATCAGAGATTCAAGGAGCTTCCAGAATATGGAGCGCGAGAGTCTTTGATCAGCATTGTACACCAAGAGGGAAAGATCCAGTTAATTACACAGAGGAATTCATTTGTTCAAACCGTTGATCTTGTGATTACAAATCCGCCGGTCCCAGTGAGCAATTTGGTTAAAATTGAATGTGTTGAAACATGGAAGCCAACAACGAGAATGATCTATCGATTATCAGACCAAAGTGTCATTTTAAGAGAATTTCTATTTTTTGGAAGCAAGACGTACAAAATTCTGTATTTCCCTGGATTTGTCGATTTCGTCAATAATTATATGGCGCTAATGAAGGATGAAGAGCGATGGCAGTGCGAAGGTACATTGTTGATAGATTTCATCATTTCTCTTGATAGATTTCATGCTCTTGTTTTCAGGCCAATGAGAATATGTCTCGCGACTTGCATTGACGTGACGAAAGAAATGGAACCTAATGTGTTCCAATCGCAGATCTCCTATAGGAGTTTTTTTTTTGAGTTTTAAAGCAGCCAGGTTTTGAATTGTGAGATTAATTATTAATTTATGGTCCAGACGAAAAAAATAGATTTCTTCAATCAAAGCAAATCAACGATTTCGGCCTATTAGTTTGTTACCGCAGTTTCAGAGTTCGGCAGGGTTAACACTGTTGAGCAGTACTACTCCACCACGCCCTCCTGGCCGAGTATCACAATGAACACCAGTGGGGAGCCTCGAAAATGTCAAGGTATCCAAGATATCGCTTATAGGTTAAAAATAGTTCTCTCAACAAGAATGAAGAATTTAATTTGGCACGTGAAAGGGAGATTCAAAAGTGATTCGACTTCATTGGGTTGTTCAAAGCCTCTTGTGTGGTTTCATCTCTCCATCTTCTACTTAGCTGATGTCAAGCACGTTCTGCATGAAATTTGTGTGTGGATTCCTTTCCCATCTTCAAGCTCATGGTTAGTGGGCATGTGTACCATAGGTAAAACGGATGTTCAAGTTCGGCCGCAATATTTCGGGCGCAAGTTTCACTTGAAATGCCACCCAGAGCCGGCATGTTTCCGCTCCCGGTACGAACCCTCATGTCTTGAGCACAAAACCTTCAAAAATGATTTCGATTTTTGGATTCGTCGTTCTTAATTCATTTCTTTTCATTCTCGCACAATCAGAGACTCTCGAAAAAATTCTAAGTCGACTTCCTATCCATAAAACCGATGAGAATGAAGTTGACTCAGTCCGATACACGAAAGACTCGTGTTTCCTGCTCCTCACCAACAACGTCGTCCAGCGAGCATTGAAGGGGAATGACGTGCACGTCGTTGGGTATAAAAAATCCAAGTCTGAAATGCGAGTTGCCGGAAATGAGTTGGATTCTGCTTACTGGGGTCAGCAGTCGAAATCTTCCAATGTCATTGACGCTACGGAGCAAGGAAGCTTGATGAAGTTTGATGTATTAAAGTTGATCGTTGATAAAAAGAGAATATTTGAAACAGAGGAGCAGAGAACGGTGCGTCTCTACTGTCCGAACGAAGATAGGAGATTCGACACCCTTGGAAACGCCGAAATGAGAAAGTTTCCCATCAGTATTGTGCATCATGAGGGAATCCTTCGTTTTGTTGTCGACGGAGGCTTCCATTCGCAGACCGTCGATCTTGTGGTGACAGAGCCGCCAATCCCAGTGAGCAATTTGGTCAAAATTAGTTGTCGAGAAACATGGGGTCCCAGAACGGGCTTCAGTTACCGGCCATCACGTCAAAGCGTCACTTTAAGACAATTCGCTCGAGGAAGGACGTACAAAGTTCTGTATTTCCCTGGATTTGTTGATTTGGTCAATGGCTCTATGGCGGTTATCAATGATAGACAACGGTGGAGATGCTTTCCGTATTAAT